CCTCTTGATCATCTAGTCTGCTCATGCTTTAGCAGGATAACCTGGAAACAGGCAGACCAGGACCATGGCTATGTGGGTTTTCAGTATCATCACTGGAGATGACTCAGCGTCTCTGGGAAACCTGTTCTGAATTTGGCAACACTCACAGTAAAAGGTGGGTTTGTGTCTTCAGATGGACCAGCACATTTCAGTTTGTGTCCAATGCCCCTTGTCATCACTGGGCACCACTGAAGAGAGTCTGGGTCCCTTTCTTCACTCCCTGTCTTCACATACTTGGACAAATTGATAAGATTGCCCTTGAGCTAGGGAAATTCCATTTTAGGTGAGGATTGCTAAAATTAATAGTAACAGGTCTAATACAGCTTGTGTTTTATGTAGCTCATACTAATTGAGTAAACAAATGTCATTTACAGGCTGCATATAAAGTCATATAACCCCATAACTTAGATAAGACAAATGGGGAGAATGGTCCTCCATGGAGATGTTTGGAATAAAATTATCTTTTTAATCATCTCGGGGAAGAGATGAAACAGGGTTTATTAAATAGCTTTTTATAGTTCTTGAAAACTAGCCACATCCCAAGGCTCAGCTGTATAGCTAAAGACTTCAACCTGCAAGGACTAGGCCAGGCAGCTGAGCTCTTTGCATATTTATTCCTTTGTGTCACTCTGCTGCTGCCCTTTGGTATGTAAGAACAGTGATGGGCAGCCACCAAAGTCCCTCTGTGCCACTTTGGGCAGGCAGATACTGCTACCAGTCTGGTGGTAGTGGTTTGTGTTTCACCTGCATGTGGCAGAGCACAAGTAAATGTCTTCCAGTGCCTAGAATGGTGGTTCATGAGCTCTGCTATCACTGAGCTTTTGAGTCCCTTTCACCTTGCTTAGTGCAATAGCTTTGCAGAAGCAGAGCTTTACATGCTTTTATAAAAATGCTCAGCTGGTGGCCTGGGAGGACATTGTGTTCCTCTGCTGCCTCCTGTCACACATGCTGTCTGCCTGCTGTCATTTGTCCTGTCACTGTGTACAGCCCTGACATCTCCATCCTTCCCCTCAAGAAAAATGGGCCATGTCATTTCAGAGCCTGCAACTGGCACCAAACTCAGGAAGAAATGAAACTCTATGATCCTGTCTTTGAGATGTTGGTGAGTTTAATTACTTTATTCTAGCCAGGATGTGCAGTGAAAATCCAACTGCACATGTCCTGTACAAGATTTTCATATATTTATAACATTCATCAAAAGCCATTTTTGAGCAAACCAGCTTTATGTCATGGGTGGCCATATGTCAATTTTTTTTTAATGGTGGCAGACTCAATATATAACTCACTCTTCTTAACACACACACACAAAATATTCACATACTGCATTCAACTCACACAACTCCCTTAGAGTTAACACAAAGCATCTGAGCAAACTGTGCTGTAAAAGCTGCTTACTTACTAACTTACATGTGGCCTAAAAAAACTTCACAGTGCACCTTTCACTATACAGTTTCACTACAGGATTTACTGCAGGACTCGAACCTGCAGTTTTTGGGTTTTACCACTGGATGGGACTCGAACCTATTGTTTCTACAAAAGGGGACCTGAAACATCGGAACAACTGCCCTGTAATTAGTGCGTTGCTCAGTGCGCTTGAAGTACCCGTGGTGCTTGCTGTGCCATCATGGCTGAATGGTCATACGACTTTATATGCAGCCTGTCAAGGACTTCTGGTTACTCAATTAGTATGAGCTACATAAAATACAAGCTATATTAGACTTGTTAATATTAATTTTAGCATCCCTCACCTAAAATGGTCCTAGATCAGAGGTTTCAAACCAAAAAGGTCTGGTTGTCAGTGTGATTCTTCCCAGCAGTATGAGATGGGAATATCTCTTCACATCTGTGTGCACGCTGATAATTGATACTTGATTTTTGTTCATCCTGCAAGGAAAATGAAATTCCATGAATAGCTGGTGGTCATTTTTTATGCAGGCCTGAACAGCATCATGTGGTAGAATCTGCCTCACCAGAAGGCACTGAAACTAAGCAATGACTTCAGCTTTCCTGAATGCTGCTTCATCTGTGCAGAGCAAAAACTTTCCTGTGTGCAAGAGTTTTGTCAGCAAAGATTTTGCTTCTTCAGTTACTTCAGAGGAGAAAGACAGTTGAATGCTGAGGTACTTCTTGTCTCTGCTTTGCAACTTGCCTCATCTCACATAAAGCTTGGGCTGCCTTGTTGGGTTGGAGAGTGTTGTCCTTAGGACCACATCTCTGCTCCAGGAATTCCATTAGATGATGTATTAGCAACAGAGGACCTGGACTGAGTTATTTTGTCCCTAGATCCTACTTAATCAGGGTTGTCTGAAGCAACTGATCAAGACTAGGGCATTGGATGAAAAAAAAAAAAAAAAATCCTATGGGAATATATAGAGAGGACAGTTCTTGGGGGTAATGATCTTATGATAGTTCATAAACTGGACTATTGAGGATGTTAAGATGGGAAGGCTGCTTGAGGAAAAGGATTCTTGCCTTTGGAGGACTACTCTGGGGCCATTAGTCTCAATTTTACTTCACTTGACTGACTGATGCCTGCAACATTTTATATTCAGTTCTCTGAGTCTGATGGTTTCTCAAAGACCCAAGAAGGAGTCTTGTAGTCAGACACTGAATAAAACCGCTATCATTATTAGCAAGCTGCTTTGGACAGTTGTTGCCAGCAAATATTTCCACTTGTTTTCCCTTCCCAGAACCTTCCCCTGGTTTGACCTGACAGCTGTGTCACTGAGAAAGTCTCTCTTTAGCCAGCTGCTAGAAAAGAAAGAGCTTGTCTGGTGCCATCTGATGCCTGGTGCTCTACTGTACCAGGCACCCTCTGGAGATGTCCTACAAAACAATGTGGGCTGGTCAGCACCAAGACATCTCTCACTTCAGCTGTAGTGGAGCCTAGTGTGATACCAGGTAACAAGTCTCCATTGTCCACAGCTGCTTCCAACAGTTTCTCAGAAATTCCAGAGGAAAATGCTGAGTATGATCCCAAGTCTTCATACACCACAATGAAGCCCACGAGGAATGCTTTGCTGAGATCTCATCCCAGCCCCTTCATGGGACTAAGTGGTGCAAGAACCAGCACTTAGCTGTCACTACTCCAGCCAATAACCCTATGCACACATTTTCTTCTATGAGTTTCAGTCTCTACACTGCTTAGCAAAATTACTGGTTGCCTGAGCTTTTGTATTTTTTTTTCTGAATTTGCTTATTGCATTGTCTTCTTGGCCTATGAACTGCTTCAGTTTCACTGTGTTTCTATTGCAGCTTCAATACAAAACTGAATTACAAAACCAAATTATTATTTTGTAGTGGCTGCAGCTTTGGTATAACAAACTAAACAGGATCAAGCCCAGTCTCTGTTTTTTTGGTTTTTTTTTTCCTTGTATTTTTTTATTCCCCATGAGGGATCTTGAGAAAGCCATTGAATCCTGACAACATACTAGTGATTTAGTCAGGAGCATTCTTTCTGTTGAGACAGGCTTTCATCAGCACTTCTACTTCCTTGCTGCTAATAAGGTAACCCCCCTCACCACCACAGACTATGATATGTCCTTCAAGGAAAAAGCAGGTAACTGGATACTCTGACCAAATCCACCCGGGACAAAGCAATTTTTATTCCCTAAATTCTCTAGTTCAGTGTTCTTTTGTACTTTCTGCCACCATCTATCATGTGTTTCAGTACTGTTTACCATGATAAAACACTGCCTGCCGGGTTTTGCCTCACAGGAAATAATTTCTGTGGCAAGGCCAAGGATTAGTTATGCATGTTGCACCTAGACCCTTGCTTAATTATGATTGCTGACAGCAGCTGTTGCCACACCTGTATACCAGTTATTGTATATGTCATTTATCTTACATCTGCGTTTCAGAGCAAGCCCAGTTGCAGACAGCGAAGCATGGGAGAAATCTATTCACTTGGGCATCTGGGAAGTTCTTATCAATCCCTTGTGCCTAAAATATGTCTATGATTGTTTTTTGGTCTTTTTTAATCAACTGTGAAGCAGAAGTGAAAGACAGACAATGCTACAGTTTGATCCACAACATCTTCACTTAGTTCCTGCAAGCAAAGGAAGTATTGCAGAAAAAAGAGAATGTGGGAATGGGTTTGGTGTAATAAAACGTCTGAGAGTTGCAGTGGCAGTGCAGTGCACAATTTTTTGTAATTGTGAAAAGGTGGAACTGTACCTCCTTGAACAATCTGCAAGGTAATAAGGATACAGTCTGCTGTGGCTGCTGGGCTTCTTTCAAAGGCAAAAGTGCAGTATAAGTCTCTAATTCTGCCTCTGCATGTCTTGTGATGCAGGAAGAGCATCCACTCCCACCATGGTCTGGGGTCCTTGCAAAGAAGGAACTGTAGTATAGGGCTCCAGTCCTGCATTTTGGACAAACTGTGAGAAAGTGAGGGCATCTGATTTCTCTCCTGTTGGTGCCTTTCTCTCTAGGAAGAGACCCATATTGTCTCTGTATGGGAGGGCAATGGATCTGCTGAAGAGAGGCTCCTCAATCCCCAGCAACTCTCGCACGTGTCGTGAAATTTCCTGAAATATAAGATGAAACACCAGAAATTCTCATTTCTCAAACCAAGACAATGGAGCAACAGCTAAAACCATCTATTCTGTGTCAGAGCAGCAGGAAAAATAAGTGATATTCTGAATTTTGGTACAGTTTGATGCTTGAAGTTGCAACATAGGGGGGATCTGAATCCATAAGCTGCATGTGACATTGTAAAAGCAGTGCATATCACCTTCTCTCCAGATTTACTATCAGGGATGGCATCATATCTGGTCTCTTAGTGACATAAATATAGCTTTCATCCTTGCACTTCAAGGACAAACAAGTTATGGATAAATGAACTGCAGTCTCTTCTGCTTAATGCAAAATCATCGCTGTTTGTTCAAGTATAATGCAAATGACAATCTACACAAAGGTGTAAAAAATAATTAGCAAAAAATCATATTGTTCATTTTGAAAATTATGAGTGTATGGGTGAGCAAGCTGGACCTGGAACTGTGAGTGAGCAGAGCCTTACCAGTGTTTTTGAAGCAACTTCTGAGAATTTAACTATCTGATTTGACTGAAGCTTAAAACACAATTTGCAAGATTTTATTGATTTGCTCAGAGTTTCACAGTATTTGCTCAAAACCTTCCCCCAACTTCAGCTTGACTCTGAATACTTTTTGTGATAACAAAAGAACACCAGACTCTTATCTTGAGTGCTTTTGATATTTAAAATACCAGTACAGTGAGATTAAAACCAGCAGTCACTTGTCCAAGCTCCATAGCTTCCACATAATTAGCTTTGTAGTTCCCTACCAAACTGCCGTTTCCCCTAAACTGCAGTTTCCATCTCACTGAGTTGATGCTATCACTCTTATTTCTATAGTAACTGTATCAGTTTTGACTGCTCACAGCCTTTCATTTATATTTCTTGCTGGGAAATTGCAGTTTTAACTTTTCACCTGCTCTAGCAGAACTTCCTGAAAGACCCAAAGGGCCACATCCTGCAGAGCTCTGCATACTTGGATTCTGTCGGAATAAAGTTCTTTAAAACACAAATAACTGGCAGAATAGGGCACGACCTTTGAGAACATCTAGGTTCCACTGAAGTCTGTGAGATGTTCCCAATTTACTTGCAAGCTTTGGAAAACATTACTGGGACAGTCTCACTTCCAAGCTTGTGGCAGTGTCCTGCCTGTCTATTGCTTATCTAGAGGAACTTCGGTTCCTACAAGAGGAAGAATGGGTTACAGTTGATAGGTCTAACCCATGGCCTAGTATTACTCAGCAGCTGAACTAACACCGTACATAATCCCTGTATCTTAATACAAAGGTGAGGTTTACAAAACTTAGAAAAGTCTTCCACTTTTGGAAAGCACAAATTACTATAGTCTTTATCTGCTTGTACCAGAAATATTTGTGAAGGTTTGCTGTCTGAAAAGCTTAGTGTTAACTTGATGCCTTTCTGTCAAAACAACAGGCAAAGTCATGGCACTAGTTAATATTTTTGGTGGTATATTTAGTTTCAAACAAAGAGTTAAGATTGTGCAAACAGACAGAACTGTGGTGAAATTGTATTTTGGTATTGTAGAATAAAATAAACAGTGTTAATATTTTAATCACTGGAGCATAGAGTTTCTTCTTTCTTCTTGGTTTGTAGTTCTAGCTGAGCCTTATGGTGAAAGCAACTTCAAATTGTGATGCAAAACAGATTATTTGGCTCTGTAAATGCAGTGCCTCTGTGGTTTCCACTAGGGGAGGGAAAGAGGGTAATGAAATTTAAGTCAATTTGTTGATTTCCTGAATTTTTAGGAAAAAATTCAGGCCTTTGGAAGGCCAGACTGCAGCCCTGAAATTCAGCCTTAACTATCAGTGTTTGTTAAAGAAAATATATAGCTTTGAAAGGACAAAGATCGATTACATGTTCATAAAATGGGGAAGAGACAGGGCTCCTGTTTGTGTCCAGCAAAGCATAGAAGAAGGGAATAAAAACGCGTGGCCCTTTTGCCCCTGCATGTGGCCGAAGTCCGTGACGCCGATGGCGGGCAGGCTGGAGCAGTTGGCGTGGATGAGGCGGCGGCCGGTGATGCCGTTGGCCCTGAAGCATTCCTGGGCAGGGAAGCGGAGAGAAAGGCGGATGGCCCCGTGCCGCTGCGGCCCCCGTGCCGCTCTCACACACACACCGGGCTCCGGGCCGCCGGGCCGGGCGGCGCCGGGCGCGGGGGTTTGGCGCCCGGACCGGCAGCCCCGCACCTCGTACTGGGGGAAGCCGAGCTGCGCCACCCACTCAGCCACCTCCTCGGCGCTCCAGGCCAGGAAGGGGCAGACGGGCCGCCGTCCCCCCGCGCCCTCGGGCTCAGGCTCAGGCTCCGGCCCCTCAGCCACCGCAGTCCCCGCGGGACCCGGGCGCGGCGCCGTCGGCTCCATCCCCGATCACCACGGCAACGCGTCCTTCCGGGGCCCTGTCACCTTGGCAACCATCACTTCCTGAGGTGCGGCCCCGCCTCCCTTCCGCCACTCCCTCCCGCTGTCAGCCTGCAACGCCGCCCGCCCCGCGGCTCTGCAGGACTTAATGTTGATTGGCTGCGTTGTCGCGGGGGGAGGCTGAGCGATGAGCACCGGGGCGCCACCATCTCCCTGCGGCCCGGCTCGCGCGCGCTCGCTCGGCTGTTTCCGGCCGCCCGCTCCGGCCCCGCTCGGCTGTTTCCGGCCGCCCGCCGAGCCGTGCCCATGTCGGACGCGCTCTCCGCCGCCGCCGGCTGCCGCTCCGAGCGCCCGGGCGGCGACACCGCGCCCCGGGGCCGCGCAGGTACGGGCAGGGCAGGGGGCAGCCGGCGGCGCGTGCTTAGCGTTGGCCTTACGGGAGAGTTTCCTTTACGTGGTGGGTAGCTCGTCTCTGGCGGAGCAGCCGCGCTTGCGGGAGGCAGCTCCCTGCGGTGCTGCCGGCCGCGGTCCCTGCTGCCCTCCCGCTCGGGCGCCGGGAGCTGCGGCAGGAGTTCCTCTGGTGCGGGGGAGCAGCGAGGGGCGAGGGAGGCTTGCGCTTTGCCAGGCGAGGGAGGCCCCGGCCGGCCGGGAGCCGGGCTGTGCCGTGGGCTGCGAGCCCCTGGGCCGGAGCTGTCCCATTCCCGCCCTGACGCTCGGGAAGGGCCAGCGGCTCCGCGGGGCATCAGCAACCTGCGGAAGCTGGAGCTTGTCCGTGCCCTGCCCACTGCCTCAACCGGTCGGAGAGCGGGGCTGGGAAGCACGAACCGCACTCGTATGGGACGGAGCTTTCCCCGAGTTCAGGAGTCTCGGGGAAGACCAGGAGCCATCTTTACAGAAAGTCCTTTTAGCAGTGACCTAGGAATTTCCATCTCGTCAGTGCCCTTTGTGAACTGCTGCATGGCTGCTTCTTCCAGGGCTTTGTCAGCTCAGCTTTGCATGATGAAATTTGGCCTTGTTCTGTCCTTCTAAAGCTAGGATTAGTAGTTCCTGAATGAAACCTGATTCTGAGAATGGCTTTACACCACAAACATGCCAAGGTTTTTGTTCTCCCTTTCCTAGGGTTGAGGCCATTAAAAATCTTTGCTTCACAAGGTTCTAGAAACAGCTCATAACACAAAAAACTGGTTGGCACAGGTCTTTGTTCCACAGCTGTGTGACCTTGTCAGTGTTTGAGTACTGGCTGCAGGTTTTTTTCCTGTCAGTGTATTATAAACACCAACGGTTATTTCACCTTCTTTTCCTATATTTTGTTTATTGTTAGAAAATGAAGACTCAGCCCAAAAGACAGAGCCTGCAGATCAGCTAGTTGATTCTTTGGAGTCCAGTACTTCGCAGAGCGGGTAGGAAAACCTTTTTGTGTGTTGTGGCCCACATGCGTGACAGTCTGTTTTAGTCCTGTGACCTTTTCTGTATGGCAGTTTGTTCTGTGCAGGTAAAAAGAAGGGGCTGAATTGGAGACTGAATTGTCTACTTTGGGACAGTATACCAGAGTCAGCATGGGAGGGCCTGTTCTTACAGGCTTTAGGGTTGTTTTAAAGCTTGTGAAATGTAGTTCACGGCTCAGCTATTCAAATCACAGAGTCATTCAGCTTGAAAGGAACCCTGCGTGGTTTTATAATTTATTATAAGAGCTAGTACATTTTTCAGGGGGAAATTTTCTGTATCCTGTCTTGAGGATACTTTAATAATTAAGCATGCCTGCTGTCTGTAAGTCTGGTGGAAGCTGTACAAGAAAATATCTTTTTCTATTTTCTTGACAAAGTTTTGGCTTTTTTCTTCATTGTTTGTTTTCTGTGTTTCTCCATTAATCCTCCTGTTATCAGACATTTGGCTTGCTGGTACCAGCTGGGCATGTGTTTGTGGCCAAGTAATTTAATTGGCTAGAAGCACTAACACAATGCAATGCAGTTTCCTTTGCCATTATACATTTGTTGCACAGGATACAATTTCAGAAATGTGTGAGTTAATTCCACTAGGTAAACCACAGCTTCATCAAAAAAAATGCAAAAATCCAGGAAAAAACCCTCACATCAAACTACCCTTCTTACCAAAACAGCAGTCTGATGCCATCTTGGTTTGATGCTGCTGACATCTCTATCAGACATTCTGAGTGTAAATGAGTTCTTCCATCTTTTTATTATATCGTCTATACAGACCATGAGCAAAATGGCTAAAGTAGATAATGGACACTTGCGGACATTATCTATTAAATTTGGCTTAATTTAGATCTTTTTTGAAAGGGATGGAGATGGTCCAAAAGGTTTGTGTGAGAAGAAATCAGCTGAACTGTGTCTTTGTAAGTCTGCCTGTAAAGCTTATGTACCACTTTCTAATCTTTCACTGAGACTCTTAGGTATCAGTGGTATCTAGAGGAAAAAAATCCCAAACTGTAAGCTCCTATGTTGATGGAGAGCTTTTTGAGCAGATGTGTGTCCCTATGGTAGCAGATGACCAAATAGCCCATCTAGGTGTGTTCATGCACCTGCTAAACTGAAATGCAAATAGGCTGGAAAACGATAGCATAGAAGTCCAAGAATTCCTCCTTTAAAAATTTGTTCTCACCAAGTATTCTTCTTATCTTGCCCATCTGCTGCCATTTTGTGAACCTGCTATTTGTCTTATTTGAGTTGCTCTTACAGACCTTCTGGTCTATCATGCCAATTCTAGGAAAGGAAATCACACTGTTGAGAGAATATAAGTAAAAGATGTCTTTGTTTCTGGATAAATTCTGTAGTGCCATAGGAGTAGCAATTTGAAAACAAAAGCCACATTTGCCCTGTTCAAGTCTTCTCTGTGGATGCAGAATGTGTCTTAATTGAGCTGTGTATCTTTTATTTTATTTTTAATTATTCCAAACTATACTGAGTCTGCTTCCTTACTAATGAGAATATTTCTCATTTCTGAAAGGATATGTTTGAAGAAATGCAATTTTTTTCCATTAATGCTGTGTTCTCATGTTTCTGATCGTTTAGAGCAAGGCAGTTGACATTGGTTTTATAGTGCTGTGAGAAGGTTTTGATTTTCAAAAGTGCAAATATTTCTATTCTTATTTAATACTAGGTTGCTTCTCATAGAAGTTTCACATATGTAATGAGAGCTTTACAGAGGACACTCTTCTGGCATCTGAGTTCATTTGGGATTATAAGTCTACCTATAGACAACATGCAGCAATTTTAAAAATATAATTTAGAAGAAAATCCTCAACAGAGAATAAATGCCAGAGAGGTTTCCTTTCTTGCCCATTCTTTTCCTGCTACGTAGCATTCTTATTGTTTCAGCATGTCCATTTTCTTTTGTTACAGTGCAGTACTTGGACCTCTTTTAAGTGCTGCCCATTGTATGTCTTACTGCTTGCTTATCTGTGGGGTGTATTTGGATATGGCAGGGAGACACTTGGGTGCTCCCTGTACCTGTTGGAAATGCTAGTAAGGAAAGGCATAATGGGCCACTTAAATAGATGGCATTCTCAGGATGGCTGTCAAAATTGTTCTGAATTCTTTCACTGATCCAGTTGACCTCTGAGGCAGTATGCAGATGCCATGCACTAGCTGGCATAAAAGTTGTCCTTTCTTGGGCAGAAAAGTTGCTACTGATGTCTGTCTGTCCTTGCTATAGTGTTGGTGAGCCAGCATGCTGTGGGGTGAGTGCAGTGAATTTCTGCCATCTAGAGGATAGTAAATATAGTAAATATGGAGTGTCCCACAGAAGTTGCTCCCCCTGGCTCACATGGAAACTAATCATGCAGACATGGCAGGATGGGTGGGCAGGGGTTATTTGTCCAGTCAGCAGGTGCTGACCACAGAAGCTTGTTCCTTCCATTCATCTGAATTTGAGTTCCAGAGCAGTGATTCCTCTGCTGGCTGTGCCCTGGGTGCAAGTGCTGAATTGTACTGCTCTCTTCCTCCAAAAGGTCACAGCCTGGAGCACACCTGAGGGCAGACTCAACAGAGCATTCGAAGGAAGAAATTGGCACTCTGGGGGACCAGAAAGTGGCTGTAGTAGAAGAGAAGCTGCCTGACCAAATCCAGTCTCTCAAAAAGGTAAATGGATGTTTCTTATGTCTGAGAATGAAGACAGAAGTGCAGCAACAGTTCTCCCACTCTACTGCTATGCTTGCCGCTGTGGCACTGAGGCTCTAAGGGTTGTGTTAAGATAAAAGTAGTATTAACGTAGATTCAGTTACATTTTTTCCTGTACATTAGTGGGAGATAAGTGGTATCAGTCTAATTTGCAAAGTCCCTCTTGTGTCTTCAGCTAGTCCTTGCTTCCTTGCTCACTGAGGTTTCAAGGTAATTGTCACCTTCTGCTCTTATCTGGTGCTTCTGGAAATTCCATTCTTGCGGATTTCTGGAAGAGGGAACTGAAATGCCTTGTTTCTTCTTGTGAGCAGCAAATTTGTTTGCTCTACAGCTAGAGTCAGGGAAACCTGTGCAAGTGACACCGAGTTCAGGACCTGTGAGTTTGCATATAAGGGAAGAGAGTGAACCAGATGGACCTGTAACTAGGATGGAGCAATTGTAGTTTGATTGTGGCTGTAGTCTAGATGCACACAGGGCTGAAAGGCTCTCCCTAGAGAGATTGTGTGTTGAGAATTTTTTCCAAGAGTAGTCGGCTAAATGTATAAGGCCATTGCTTTGTTGAGGAGTAACAATTAACTCTGATGCAAATGCAAAAATGTGCCTGCCCAGGATGCCCTGGGAGACCAAGGAGAGTGAAATTTGTGACACTGATGTAGCATTTGACTTCAAAGTTCACGATTTTGGTGCAGTGCGGGGAAACAGATGCTGAGAGGTGTCTCAGAGCTAGTCTATACTAATAATAGAAGCTTTTGCAGGTCTGACTTTGTTTCCTAAAGATGCCTGAGTTACTAACGAGTTGTTTCAAATCTAGGCAGAGACTTTTTAACCAGGGTGGTCTTTGTGACGATGTTTGTTATGTGCTTTGTGCAGGAAGCTGTTCGATTAACCAACTACCATGTACCTCAGGGAGTAGGGGATATAGTCATGATTCAGTCAGACCACACTGGTGCTGTGGATATCCTTTCAGCTGAGCTAGAGACTGCAGACCTCCTTGGGGAGCAAAGAAAAGGTGAGTCCTGAAGGCATAACTCTTGTTTGGGTAATTTTTTTAAGTGCCTGCCCTGGCTAGAAGACCAGACACTGTCCTGGAGATTCTTCTAATTCCTGCTGGAATTAGAAGGGCTCCTGGCTAGTGAGTGGAAAAACTTCACATCTGGGGCTTTTGGGAGCGCGCCCCAGAATGCAGGCCCCTTACCAGAAATAGCTTTGCTGTTTTCAGGTAGTAGTTTGTCAGTAGTGAAAAGTCATGTTAGCCTGTGAACTTTTCCCTTGTCTCAGCTCAGCCTCCACCTCTGGCTGCACCCACCATGTGGACCACTGAGAAGATGAAGGAATTCAAAGCCAAGATGGGAAAGGAGAAGAATGGCCGGATGGTGGTGAAGCGAGGCGAGGTGGTGACAGTGCGTGTGCCAACCCATCCTGATGGGAAATGCATTTGCTGGGAGTTTGCTACGGATGACTACGACATTGGGTTTGGAGTGTATTTTGATTGGACCACAGTTACTAGCACTGCCATTACTGTTCAGGTCAGTGAATCCAGTGATGAGGAGGATGAAGAGGAGGACGAGGAAATTGAAGGTTAGTGCAGATCTTATAAAGGTTAATTTGTGTTGCTATGCTGCTAAGAGTATCTGTCAGATGCTACAATTTCCATCTACTTTGTTTAGTCAACCCATTTGCTATCTCTGCAGCCTATTGGCTTCCTGGTTATAGAGTGATAAGAAAGCATCTGGCCCTTCTTGCTTCAGCATATGTCAATGGCTGTCTTCTCCAAGAGCATTCTTAAAATTGAACACATGGAAAAATAAAATCAGAATTCACTCAGCCAACTTCTAGATGATAAAAAAGTTAAAGTCTGAAATTTTAACCTGACTGTTTTTGTTAGATTCTCAGACTGAGAAATTTCTGGTGGTGAGTGGAGGCAAGAAGATTTTGTTTTGGGGTGTTGTTTCGGTTTTGTTTTTGTTTATTTGGGTTCTTTTGTTTTTTTTGGGGGGGGGTTTTTGGGTTTCCTTGTGGGTGTTTTTTTGTTGTTGTTGTTTTTTGATATTTTTGGGGTTTTGTTTCTGTTTTTTGGGGGGGTTGGTGTTTTGTGTTGTTGTTTGTTTGGAGGGGAGGATTTCTTGGTTTTTGATTTTTTTTCTTCTTTTCTTTTTTTCCCCAGTACATCAGTAGCTCCTTCTGACTGTATTTGAAATGTTTGCTACCTGTATTACTGTACTTGAGAAACACATAGTAATGTTGGCTGTTCTGTGGCTTCAGTGTATGTGTGACCACTGTAGCTGGGAGGTTCGTGTCTGAGTTTTGCAGGCCCTCTAAGCAGGGGTAGGTTCCTTTATGAGGAATTCTCTTGGAGAAATCAATTAAGGACAGAGACACTATGAGCTAACATCTAAGAGCTTTCCTGCCTCTCTTTGCTTCAAGTCTATATCACAGGACTGCTGTTGCATGTATAAAAGCAGTAAGGTGTCTAAAAGGTAAGCTAAAAAAGAGGGGAGACTGGGCTGGTGGGCTAGTAAATACTGTCCCATCAGTATTCTCAAGAGAACTGATTCTTGATATGACCTTTTTTATGGTAAGGAAGGCTGGACTTTGTGGGAATTATTTGCAGAGAGGTCAGAGGAGATGCTCTAGGTAATGCTATCACTGTTAGCCTTCCATATAGCTGCATGTCTGTGTGGCATTCTGATCTTGTTGGTCTTTTTCTGTATCATGCAGTGGTTCTGGCCTACTTACTTGTCTCCTCTCTCCCATTCAGGACTGTCCCCTGTAGGTGATGTGGAACGGGGTTCCAGAAGCTACCTGCGGAACCGCTATGGAGAGATCCTGCCTGTGTACCGCAGGAACAGCCATCGGGAGGTACAGGCAGGCAGCCACGAGTACCCGGGCGAGGGCATCTACCTGCTCAAGTTTGATAACTCGTACTCTCTGCTCCGCAACAAGACTCTGTTCTTTCACATCTACTACACTAGCTGAAGAAGAGGGAAGGGGCAAGGATGGCAGGCAGGTAATGGTGAGGGTAGCAGGCTGCCACCCAGCCCTGGTACTGCCTGACGGGCACTGCTGTGTGACAGAACCAGATGCAATTCTGCCAGCTCTTCTTTGGACATAAACTGGTTTCTCCCTGCACCCTTCTTCCCCACTGTCTCAGGGGAGAAAGGTACTTGTGACTGCCTGGTTGTTTCCAGGCAGCTGCTCTTTCTCTAAAACTTTGGGAGGTCTGCTCCATGCAGGCATTGGGCTGGGCCTTCAAGTCACAGCTGGCAATTGCTCAGAAGTCACATTCAGGTGGTTGTGGTTCTGATCTGTTGTGCTGGTACAAAATGAAGTGAAAATAATATTACTATTTTGTGAATAACTTTTCCAACTCTCCTGCTGCATCTGCATCACTAGAGGGCAGCTGTTAGCTTCAGTGAGCCAGAAGCACAGCTGGCTTGTCACTTAGCCAGGGTAGCCCCATCACCTACCATCGCTACAGTCACCAGCAGTCAGTGCTTCCTTCACTCACACGAGTGGCTGGGCAGTGCTACAGTTTGTCAATGCAGTTTGTCAACTGCTATTGCTATTGCAAAGGTGTTGTTGGGAAGTTCCTTGGCATGTTTTGGTGACTAGTGATGGTATTAGTTATCACCTTCTGCTTAAGTAGTGGCTGAGTTGAACAAGGAGAAGTTAATCCATCAGAGATTAATTTTAAAACATGTTTATTTGTAACTGTTGTTTATTTTAATACTTTTAACTTGAAATCGTTCTCTTTTCTAAGAATACTGCTGTATTTACATTTTGATACCTCTTCGCAGAGACACAAAATGTTTTTTCCATGGTGATACTAGAAAAGTTCTGAGTTTTATTTTTAAATCATCCAGGTAAAGCACCTCTACTTGGTCCATTCCTTCTATTGACAGGAAATGATGGACAGAATTATTTGGGGTAGCTAAAGCCAAAGATTTTGCTCTCATAGAAGGGCTGCATATTTCCTATTAAGGGTATATTGTAATGCTGTACAATTTGCTCTATATTCAAGCTTACTTTTAGCTATCTCTGCTTACTGATTCACTGCTCCAGAGCACTTAGTAGGTCAAAATGGTAAGAGAGGAAGCAGTCAGTCTATGACAGAGCAGCCCAAGCTGGGAGCAGGAGGAGTGGACATTGGAAGAGCACTGCTTGGAGCAGTGGCTTTCTGGGGGAGTGGGCAAGGAGCAGAGTTGTTGCTGCTTTGGGCCCTGAGAAGGGGAGAAAACAGTCACCTTTCTCAAAAGAGAGTGTGTTCATCAGGGTTGGGGGGAACTGCAAAGCTGCTTTATTCAAGCAGGTCGAGCACAGGGAGACAGAACAGTAGGGCTTGGTATCTGTCAGAACAAGATGCTCTCTCAGTTAGCAGCTTGGAGAGGGCTGTTCCTTCCTTTAACCTGTCATGTATGAAATGAAGAACCATACTCTGGCCTTTCTACAGCACTTGAATCAGGCCTGAGAAATTTAGGTATGATGTTTGGGTTTTTTCATCCTTTGGAAAAAAACCCACTTGATCATCTGTCAAGTCCCTAGATATTGCAGATAGAGTGACACACTTCACTTCTAACAGAGAAATAGTAGTAGCTGATATAAAACACCAATTTTACAACATTTCATAGTTGGTGTGTTGTGTATAGACTAGGGAATGAGAGGCTGGAGAGCAGCACTGCAGAAAGGGACCAGAGGATCCTGGTTGATGGGAAGTTGAACATGAGCCAGGCAGTGCCCTGGCAGCCAGGGGTGCATTAGGCACAGCATGGCTAGCCAGACAAGGGAGGGGATTGTCCTTCTCTGAACTGCACTGGGGCAGCCTCACCTCCAGTACTGGGGCAGTTTTCTGCACCACAATATAAAAAAGGCATTAAGCCATTAAAGACCATCCAAAGGAGGGCCACAAGGATGGTGAAGGGTCTGGAGGGGAAGCCATGTGAGGAGCAGCTGAGGTCACTTGGTCTGTTCAGGCTGGAGAAGAAGAGACTGAGGGGAAACCTCATTGCAGTTACAACTTCCTCACAAGGGGCAGGCACTGATCTCTTCAATCTTGTGACCAGTGACAGGACTCAAGGAAATGGCCTGAAGCTGAGTCACGGGAGGTTTAGGTTGGGTATAAGGGAAAGGCTTTTCACCCAGATGGTGGTTGAGCACTGGAACAGGCTCCCCAGGGAAATTATCACAGCACCAAGCCTGACAGAGTTCAAGGAGTGTTTGGACAATGCTATCAGGCACCTGCTCTGATTGTTGGGGTGTCCCGAGACAGGAGCTGGACTCAATGATCATGATGAGCCACTTCCAACTCAACATATTCTATGATTCTATGAATCTTTTGTACCGAGTCACTGGAAAACACCTTAAAACCATTTATGATCACACAGAAAACACTATGGGCCAATGCCAGAAGAAAAGCTGCACATAAGTTGGTCATGTCCCAAAGCAGTAAGATCAGCCACATACATGTGTGGTCAATGCCAAGGTTCTTTAGGCTGTTCTGCAGTCTCTGGGAAACTTGGTGGTGGTGAAACTCAGTGGTGAAGTTCTGCAGGACTGTTAAAGGAAATAAAAAATGGGAATTACATTTTTCTTAGAGGTTTCACTAGGTTGTTCCTTGAATTATTTTTTTACGTTGTTAATTTGGAAAAAATACTTTTGTTCATCACTCAGTGCTTGTCAGGGAAGTGTTTTTGTAAAAGTGGGTACAAGCTTAAGTCAATCTGTGAACTCCAAATTGTCCAAATTCCAAGTTTATGGAATTTCACTTAAATCCATTACCTAAAGACTGCATCAGGTAGAATTTTACAGTAGAGGATTTTCTTCAAACAGATTATGTAGGAAGTAAAATATACCAGCAACAGGGAAATGGCAAGTTTATTTAGTAAATGCTTTAACAAGACAAGCCAGTCTCTGAAAATAAAGTTAGTGCTGGAATTAACTGTCCCAAATTGTCAGGAGATGGGACTATACTTCTTTTCCAGCTTCAGTGGGTCTTACAAGAAAGAGGGAAAAGGGTCTGTATCATTACAGACATTACAGCTATCCATCTGATACACACTATAATTCATATATCCATCTGATACACACAGTAATTCACATTCAGACGAATTTCAGAAATTCAAAAATCTCCAGGCTCTTCAGGCCTTTAGACTCAAAAAAGTGTTTAAATAACTGGTTTTAAGAAATGAGATTTTTTTAATGGGCTGTTTTATAAAATAAATGAACATTTCATTAAAAGTTTATTGAAACTATCATTACTAATAAAATCTGAATTATTGAAGCCTCTAGAAACACTCTAAACACAGTAACAGTTTCATTATATTTTGCACAAATACTCATATATGGTAAAGTAATTCCTTAAAAAGATGGTAACCAAATTCAGCAGTAGCAGTTCAGTATTATGAAGACACTTCTGCAGCTCTGGTCACTGAGTTACTCATCACATTCTGCAATTTACAGTATTCTTTCATAACAGTTTCTGCTTTAAAGGATAGTTGAGTTAAAAAAGCAAATCGCAAGCAAATACATTAGAGGATTTTACTCCCCTACCCTTTTAAAGTATTGGTTTGTGAATAGTGAAAGTTATTGATTAAAAATGTGACAGAGATTCATGAAGCATTGTCCAGATAGCAGACATATAATCAGTCATGTCAGTCAGCTCACACACATACAGTACAATATACTTGGACAGACAAGGCCTGTAAAACAGGGCTGTGCCAGGAGCATCAGAAATGATCATGGCATGGCTGCAACGTGTGACTCCTGCAGTACTCAGGGAGTGCAGAACGCCTGTGCCTCCTGAAGCACTGCAGGCAGCAGTAACTGGACCATGCCCAGTTCTCCCCACATGTTCTAAAGGCTCTTCTCATCCTGCACTCAGGTCAGTGCTGTGATCCAGGTGTAACCCATCTCCTGCACACACAGCAACACAGGTACAGCACCCCAGCACGTGTAAACCTGTCTCCGACACAACCCTGCAGGTACAGCAACCTGGTCTAGTTGAAGGTGTCACTGCCCATGGGAAAGCAGGTGGAACTCAATGATATCCAAGGTCCTTTTCCAATCCAAACCATTCTATGATTTTATGAGTAAATGTGACAATAGTTTAACAAGATACGATGGCAATGTATATTTAACTATAGTGCATAGAGGACAGGGTCAGACAAAACTGTCAGGGAGACTGCTGAGTCATGAGGTTCAGAAAGGATCCCCTTATTTTTTAAACTCATTTTTTGAGGGGAATTTAGGTGTGTCTGGAGCCAGCCTTAGTCCCAGACTTGGCCCATAGTTTACATCTTAAGGATTATGTGCACAGTCAATCCTGTATCTCACTTAGCTGAGATTTCAAAGTTTTGTATGCTGTTCAGTACTTTGTGAGAACTTGAGCAAGGAATCTCTCAGCCTCAAGAGTTAACCCTAAGAAGCATCCCTAGTTGAGTGGAGATCCTGGGGCACAGCCTAGTGCCATGCAGGAGAGGGTAACAGGCCCTGGGCTGTCCACTAGAGTAAGATGATTGACTTACTGTCATATTTCCATACAGCCTGTATTTTGGGTTTCCTTGTGCCCAACTGACCCTAAGCTGTTGAACAAGACTTTTGGCCTTTAACCACTGTGTTCTTACCTGTCTTCTCAGAGTCAAGCTTAAGCCAGATGCAGTCCTCCCACCCACCACTGGTGGCTGGCTATTGCTCAAGCAGAAGTGGGAGGGGAGAGCACACTGTCACCAGAGGCACTAAACAGAAGATGGAACAGACCATTCAGTCTGACCACAATGTCAGCATTGCCCCACTCAGTGATTGCTGTTGGTCCTTGGCTGTGAGATCTGCAGAATCCTCTGTGTGTGTGCTGGTTAACACATGATGTGCTATTTGGCATCTACTTCACTTTCTAGTTAGGATTTATTTATCTTGTAGGGAATTCTGACCTGTATATACGTGAGATATTCCAGAATTATTGATCCTCAGCTGTGCAGCTTGTTGCATGGTAGTGGGTTATCTCCATTTAAAACTATACAGTGGTTTTGATCACAAAACCTGCCTTACAGTCAGTTTTGATCACTTGCTAAGACATAGATAGTATGTCCCAGTTTTCAAGCCATTAGTTAATGGTTTTTGTTAAGATAAATGGCACTGTAGATGGCAAACCTATTGTTCAGTTCTTGCTTTCTGAAGTGTGGACCAATCTTTAATAAGGCTTGGGTCACTCTTTTGGGACTGTGCCCATCTACCTGGTCTCATTGACTTAAGCCCAAAAACAGCATTGAATGGGGAATGTCATTGCAAAGAGTATGTGCCTAGTCTGCAAATGCAGCCTGCCCACAGACAGGCCTGCTGCAGTGGAACTGAAAGTATTTGGTGTGTGTTGTTTCACTGCTTGAGTTTCCCAAAAGTATCTGGTATCTTTTATGAACACAAGATAGTTTTAGGAATATTTAATCTTCAGGAAAGCTTCACTGTTGTACAGGATAATTCTTCTTTTTGTTTATTTTCTTATATTTCCACATTATACAAGTATATTGTTTCTCAGGTATTCAACTAGCATTCATTATCAAAGTGACAACTTCTTTTTGGAAGGATACACAGTTTTAATTAGTTTTCTGATAAATCAAATAGCTTGGCTATGTGGCTAGTAATTAACAGCAGCCATTCCTGTTCAATATCAGATCCATAGTTCTGTCAAAGAAATAATCTTATTTCACATGTGTAATTTTTTAAGTTTGTTATATTTCCTGGATTTGTATTCAATCTTGCTAGCTGGCTTAGGCAGTTATGGAAACCCTTCCCATTTAAATAGAGATTTTTGGAATTAGACCTTGGGTCAAGAAAGAAAAATAAAGTTTAAATGCAGTTGCACTTCAGAGAGGGAAGTTAATCCTCAGGAAAGCAAATTTTTTTGTTTTTATGGAAGGAAGATTTCAGATAGGTTTTTAATTTATATTTTCTTTCCCTCTAAATTGTCTCTAGAAATCAGAAACTTGAATCAAGGAAGAAGCTTCTTTTGCATTTTAGGTTTGCCTTTGTGAAAGCACAAAATTGTTTTCCATTTTGTTTTGAATATAATTTAGATCTAAATAAAATTTACATGTTCAGTCAGAGATATATCCTGTAGCAAAGGACTTGTATAAAAATTACCTTGTGTATGTGTTTAGTTACGATAATGGTACTAATCTGTTGGACATTTTTTATGTCAGAGAAGGTAGTAAGCTCTCCATTGTTTCCTCTTTTTTTGCTTTAGGTGTAATGTAGCAGCAGAAGTTAAAAATGTATGTGTTTTATTGAGAACAGAGAGTTAAAATTGCTTAAATCAAAGACCACTGCTGGTACTGCTTACAGTTAGTGAGACCCTTTGGAAGCCTGTAATACATGTTCTCAGGAAAGGTTACTGGTGGCAGACACAGGCTTGTAGCAAATTTATGCTCGGGACCCTTTTAATATGCACAAACAGGTAAGATGAAAATGTGTTAAGAGGAAGAGCTTAGTTACCTGAGTTCAGGTGCTAGGAAAGTCAAGTTACTACACACTGAGTCTAGAAGGCAGCCACATGCCTTTCTTTGTGGCTCTACCTGTCAGCTTATCTCCTTGTACATGTGTGCATGTAACCTCCACCTATGGCCTGCAGTGGGACAGTTACTGTGGAGCTGGACCTGGTGAGGTGAATTTGAGGTAAACCTTATTACAGGTCTAGCTACTGAACTATTTTGTTGTTCTTGTGGGGAATTAGGGTAGAGAATGAATCCCTAAATGAGTTCATTTTCATCCCCACTGCTTATACTCTTCCTTCTTTTTTCCCTACCCCTGTTAAAGCCACTCTACAGAGGATTTATCACAAGGTGCCTTAGGAACAAACAGCAAGTCTGAAATGAGAACCATAGGTGTCATTAACACAAGAGATTTCTTATTTCTTGCCCATTTAGGTAGGGGGTGGTACTTGCCAAGGTCAGGCAGGGAGGGCCTCTCTAGGCTGTTCCTGAAGATCTAATCTGTTCATA